TAAACAGAACTGGCCCCAATACTGAGTCCAGGGGAACACGGCTTGTGACCGGCCGCCTACTGGATTTAACTCCACTCACCACAACTCTTTGGGCTCGGCCATCCAGCCAGTTTTTTACCTTAGGGCAACTTAAATAATATTAGGCATCTGCGTATGAGGAACTGAATCAATCCTGAGACAAGCACGGCAGCATGAGCAGAGCAGCTGTTCACAGTTGCTCAAGAGTTAGTCAGTAGAGTCAGTGGAGCCTAACAGGGAGTCTAGACACTCAGGTTACATAATGTGGCCACCTCTCATAAGTGACAATTTTAAACAGGCATGGAGAACTGCATTAAAATCTATTTTGCGTGCTATATTTCCTGGAAGATTAAATCATTCTAGAATGTCATTCAGGTAGCCTGTATTTTATTCAGCTGTAGAAAATTATCTCCGCCTTAGTTACAAAGTCACTTTACTCTTACTGAGGGCTTTTTGCTCCCTGAAAAATCAGGAAGAAAAATGTACTTCCTGTAAGACAGTTATGTCCAGATAACAAACATGTATTTCACATCTACATTTAGAAGGTCTATCAGTGAAGAAACTCCACTCCCAGAAAGCACCTCATTATCGTATGCTGGCAACCCTATGTATTTAAGATATTTAAAGGAAAGTTTTTAAAAAGCAATCCTAAAGAGGTTATAATTTACAATAAAAATCAACAGAAGAGGTTATTGGCAAAAGCACCTGAAGGACCTGAAAGCAATCATGGTATTTCCCAAAGGTAACTTCAAAACTTACTTGTCAAACTTGTGAATTTGTTCTTCATTATAAGGAAGCCCTAGGATCAGAGCAGATGACAGACATTACCAGTTTAATTCTGTTAGTTGTATTTATGTAAAACTCCGTAAGTTTACCCATTTCCTATATAGTTTCCTTCTCCTATCCTGATAGGTGAAAGTGGTCATTTACGTTTTTTTTTCCTCCTCTCCAGTCTTGCAATTCAGATTTATGAGATTAATGGCGTTTCATTCATATGGGCTTTAAGACAGTACCTCACTAAGAAAGACCTACAGATATATTCACTGTTGCTGACTAACTCTCCATTCCTACCACAAATATCCTAGTGGAACAAGGACTGACCTGTCCTTTACATTATAGTTAATGTTATAAGTGAATCAAATAAGTTACTTACTTCGTTCTGCTTTGTCTTTTTTGAACTGATAATAAATATCTGTGATGGAACGTAGCAGCGCCTGCAGCCTTTCTGGACTAGAGTGACAAAAGGAAGAAAATGAGATATTTCTATATATAAACTTAAGTACCTATCAATGAGTTTTATGAGCTACAACTCAATGTAGAATTCAAGACATATTAAAACAATTAATACAGTTACTCACTTTCTGTCTTTTGGATGCATGCCTTCCTGATTTGCCCAGGTGTCCGCCAGTAAACCACCAGGAGAAAGCTTGTTTTTGATATCTTGAAGACTAGTTTCTATTGTGCCTTGAGAGCTGGAGAGCTATGTAGGAGCAAGAAAGTTCAATCTTACCACTGGGTAAAGTAAAAAATTACTTGAGGCTGAAAACAGACTGAGCACGTTAATACTACAGAACCATTGTTTCACTGACCTTCATTAAAGAAATATGACCACTTACCTCCATCGGCTTTGCTAGAACATGGTATTATTAAAGAAAGAATCATCTTTGATGCTGGCATTTCTGTTAGTTAATATTTATTTTCTTTCAGCATCCTCAACAATAAGTTTCTACCTTTCATATATTCCCCGTTTACTTCTACACTTGTTCTTCTGGTTTGTTAATAATTCATATAATGACTATCCACATAATTCATACATTCCTTTCTCCGCAGTTCATACAATCTTCAAAATAAAAATGCACTAATCAACTTTTGCTGTTCGAATGGAGAACTTGATAACTGCTCCCAGGACACCAGTGTGTAAAGTTATTTTCCATTTTCCCTTATTTGTCTGGAAACATGATGCAAATTTCAAAGCAGATCACTCTGAAATGTGTTTGTATATGTATCATTTTAGAAAGCCAACGAAGTAGTTTAAAATTCTTTAAGGAAAGGGAAAAAGAACTTCAAAGTAAAATATATTTCGTCATTATAATTTTTTACTTGAGTATTTTAGAAAATGAGACTGTATTTTCAGGTACTTCTTATTATTTTCATTACACTGGGCTAATAAAAGGATTTACTCTGTTTCCAGAAAGATATCCACATTTCAGTATGGGTATTTTAAAAACCTTTGGCAGTCTAGAAATGATTTTGAAAATTCAGAGTTGTTATTCACAGAAAAATCTGTGTTATCATGTATTGCCTTTTTCTTTAGAAACACCATTTTGAGAATGACACGGGCTTTGTAAGATACTTACACGCAACAGTTTTGTGTGTATCTCTGAAATTTCATCCACTTCTGATGCTTCCAAGTTGATCTGCATCAAATTCTCATATCTGACCACAAAAAATCCACAGTTAGAAAAGAAAATAAACAAGCATTGAATACACTCAAAATATCCCTTGAATCTAGAGATTAACAATAACTACCTTTTCTTTTATATGAAATACAGTATCTATCAAGCAGCAAGCATGAAACACTGACAACCTTTAATGGCCATTAATAATGTAAACATTTTAAACAGTTTCCTACATTTGAGCTGTTAAAAAGAAGTTTGAAACTTCTGTTCCTGACTTCTTTATTCTGTTCTCTTTACTTACACTCAACAGGCAGTGGAAAACTATTCCCTCTCATCAAATAATTTTTAAAAGGTTGCCAAACTAAAGTTACTTAAAGTAGTCAATGACACACACAACGAATTAATACTCCAGTGCACCAAAACGCTTTTCTGTGGAAACTTACTGGAAAGGCTGAGTTACCAAAACCTTAAAGGCTGGGTTAATAGCACCATCTGTTCATATTGATACTTTCCATATGACCATAGCTCAAGTGCCAAGTAAATAATTCGGGACGGTATTTTTCCTGTTGAGTCTCAGGTACATTTTATTTTTAAAAACACCATCAAAACCAGCTCAGCTGCTTTCAAAAAATACCTACTTTGCCCAAGTTCAATACTTTGTTTACCTTTTCAAATAAAAGCTTTGCATTGTGATGCTTTGAAGCATAGCCTTGAAAAGGGAGGACAAACAAGAGGACGTGTCCTTTGCTAACTCCATAAAAGTCTTCTGAAGTCAAATAAACTGAAAATCCTGCCCCTTCGTAAGGAGGGGGAGGCCAAAAGACCATGTACAAACACATGGCAAATTTCTGTTTACATGAGAACTACTCCAGTTCGCAAGTGAACATAATTTTTCTTTAAATTGCTGCTCTGAGATACTGCTGAATGCACTAGAGTCACAAATCAGAACCTACAGCGGTTTCTTCTGAGCCCTAAGTGGCTTTCTTCTGTGAGGACCTGGCAGAATGCAGGAAGAAGCTACCTGGACCAAATACAGAGTGAACAAGAACCAGTCCTGTCAACTAGTGTAAACTGACTTGAAGGAGAGTTTGGATTACAGCCCTGATGATTTGTAACTAGGCTACACAGGTATACTTTATCTTTCTAGTTTCACTGTTGGGTTTTTTTTATTTTTAAAAGCAAGTATCTTAAAGCCAAGGTGTGTCAGTTTGTACTTGTTTAGCACGCACACAGCAAATCTGACAAATTGTTGGGTATCCATAATTACTACATACAAGCTCTTCAATTCGCACATGTGTAGCAGCTCCAACATGGCTTAAGTCTATTCTTAAGTCTACTCTGCAAACGCAATGGCTCTACACGTGTGCATTAATCATCTTATGGGCATCTGCATTTTCAGAGCAGCCTGGAAGCAAGTTTAGAGAATCCTATGACCAAGACAGCATTTGGGGGAGACTGGCATCTGGTGGAATAGGAAAACAACTACCCATAGGAGAATCCTATGAAGAGCTGGGGTTTAAAGTTTGTATCAGACCGCGTAGGAATAACACACCTTAAAGACGAAGCTAATGCTAGTTTGCGGAAAGACTGAACAAAACACTGCAAGGACAGTGGAAAAGAATGTGACTGAGGATTGGACACTGAGTGGCACTCAGAGATGAAACAAAGATCGGGAGAGAGAAAAAAATGAAACTTGGATGGAGAATTCAATGGTGCAATCCCATCTGCTACAGACAGCACTTGACTGAAAGAGGTAGGGCAGAAGAGTCTGACCTCCGGAAAACACTTGCTTCCTTGGAATAGAAAACAAGAGAAATAAGTCTCTTCTGTGGTCTTTGAAACTTGGAAGTCTCCTATGCTAAAAGATAACAATTCTTTGGTTGCTCCCTATTATAAATTTTGTCAGTTTTAAAGAAAGTGCTCTAAAAAACTTTCTACTATTATAGATCTAAATGGGTCCATATGGGCAACAGTGAGATTCTGTGATACAGACCTCTGCCATTAGAATTAACCAAAATAGACAAAAATAACATAATAGTCAGGCACTTAAAAAAATGACAAGTAGAATTTCCTCTGCAGTTTACTTTTGGCACCCTATGTGCATGCACTGTGATCTAGTGATATCCTAATGCAGATTTGTTGGGGGGGGGGAGGGGTTTGGTTGGGGGTTTTTTCCCCAGCTGCTCTATGTTATATTTCAACATTAAAATTCCTTCCATGCAGAAAATGCTACGGTCTTAAAGCTGTGGAAGGGGCAGTATTTAAAGTCATCCTTAATAAACACACACAACCAAACTCAGTGACAAAAGCACTAAAGCACTAATGAAAGGAAAGCTACTCGATTCTTCGTCCAGGCTTTACTATAGCTTCTGAAGTCAACAACAGCAAATGAGCTGAGTCAGAGAAGAAAGGAGAAAAAGAACACGTACAATTACTACTCAATAGTAATTACTTGTTCCCATTAAGTTAAGCAGCAAAATTAACACTCTAATTTGAGTAAAGCATATTACTAAATCTTCTTAAGTCACTGCCATCAGCAAATCCATGCCGATTCAAATTTTTTATATGCAAAACCCCTGTAAATAAACATAACTTAAAATACCGCTGTCATTAAAGATGATAATGAAAATCAATGCATTCAGTGTAGTGCTTCTACTCACATTTTCTCAGCTTTCTCAATGTTTCTGCTGCAGAAATCCAGCCTGATGACAACCTCTGTCTTTTTATGAACCATTTCATTGTAATCATCCTTGATTATTTCACTAAAAAAGTGAAGCATTAGTCTATAACAAAAGTATTCAACTGCCATCTTACCAGCAATCAGTAATACAATAATATACCTACAGTAATAACCGCTAGTAAGAATTGCTTTCTGTTAGAGACGCATTAGTATAATCCTCATATCTTGTGCAAGCTGCTCAATTGTACCTGCATGTCACCAGAGGTTAGACTTAAATTATCCACAGAAGAAAGTGAAATTGCAAATACCTAAACCTTGTTGTCAGAAAAAATGATTTTGTTTCCTTAATGACAGAAAGAAGGAAAAAATTCAGAAAGCCTATTCATATTCAAGGAGTAAAGAAAATGTCCCAAGATACTGGGTGATCACAGAATTGTGTGTTGATAATCAAGGCATATATCAATTAAAAAAAAGGAAAATCACAATAAAATTCCATCAGTTGCTTACATTAGCCATCGTATTCCTTTTCGCATCAGCTCCTGGTAAAGTAGCAAAGAACTGGCAACTCTACAGGCATAACATACGATACCTGTTACTGCCTGGTGGAAAAAACAATCAACATTAGTACTAACCTGGCATTCTCTTAACAATTGTTTCGAGTCAATTAATCACAACAAAGCAACACAGATTAATGAAAGAGCAACATGAAGATGGTAGTTTAAAATGCATAACTTTGCCCAAACTTTAGTTGGGAGATAACCAAATTCTCATTATGGAGGCAGAGCTAAACATGGTAGTGAGTTTTTCCAGTTATGCTGAAATATCTGTAAGGGATGAAAATAAGTCTCTTATAAACAAAAATGACACCACTTACTCTCAGGATTTACTTTAATTTCTGGGAAGTCACAAGTACATTTCTTCAGTAGTTTAGGAATTAAACACATACATTAAAAGAAACTCGTAAAAAAGACACGTTTTTAAATTCTAAGGATAGGGACTCTCCTCATTCACCTAATGCCATTTACAAGTTTGCTGCATTATTTAGAATTGTGAACAAAGTTTCAGAAATTATAATTTACAATATTTTAAATAATTATTATCAACTGATGACTTTCTGTTTATTAATTGTAAAGACTTCTGGTATTCAAAGAGACATATGCCTTCTGGACTACCATGCCTGAACACAAGGCTCCTCAGCAGTCAGTATTTCATAGGCATAGTATAAATGGTGGTCACAAAGTCAAAGCATGGCAATGCATACATTCAGTAGTTTTAGAAAAACGACCAAGAGAATGAAACATCCTCTACTTGTCTCCCACAGATTCTGAAAATTTGCAAGAGAGGCAACAGAAATTCCACTCTTCTGTAGAGTCCTACAGACTCCTCTCTATTGAGAGAAAGATGAAAGTTATTTTTCTTATGTTAAGTTTTGCACCATCACAGGCCTGTTATGAATCTTCTGGTTAACTTCAGGACTCCCAAGTGGCAGGCTCCTTTCCCCCCATCACTGAATTATGCAGTAACAAAGCACTTGGACTTTAGAAGGCTGGTTTTTGGGTTTGTTCTTTTTTTAAAAAATATACAAACATATTCTGTATACGAAGTATGGCTTTAATATACTTTTGGAGCCCTTGTAAACAAATACATTTCTGTCAATCAGAATCCTCACCAGCATATTAAAAATAGTTTCATTAACATTATTAATCTGAAAATCAAGTAGCTTTCATTTCAGTATCATTATCTGAGACAGGTATATAAATTAAAATAATAATTACTCACTTTAGCCATACTGGCATCCCCATCCAAATCATAACGTTGATGTACTTTAGGAAGTAAAACTGAAACATAAAACAAACATCTGTATTTTCTTATTTTCCGTAAGAGACTTCAAAAGTTCAGACTGTTTCCCCTCTCCACCCTGTACATTGTTTTTATGTCTATCTACACGGATTTTCATCTAATCTGTTACTGCCAAGCCTTTTAATATCGTGTGGTTCTGATGCACACCTTCAAAACCAGCCTTTGCCTTAAATGCTTTAAATAACTTGGTATCTTCAGCAAACTGTCCTTCACTTCCTTTTCCAGACTCACTTTTGAACATGCTGCAAGCACAGATTTCATGCAGGTCTCCACTAGCGACCTCTCTCCATTGAGAAAGCCAATTATTTATTTCTGTTCTTCAGCCCTATATTTGCCCGCATGGGAGACCGTTCCCTCTTATCTCATGGCTGCTTAGTTTCATTGAGACTCTTAAGGGCAGGACTTCACCAAATAGCTTTTTAAAACCTAGGGTAGCCTCTATCAGCTGAATCTCCTTTGTCCTCATGCTCATTGACTCCTTCGGAAAGCTCTGACACAATATAAAGGTCCTACTTACCCTTCCACAAACAGCTCACCTACCCACACTCTTCAGCACCTCTGAGTGCCAGCTGGCCCGAGCAGTCAGTTTGTAGGACATACTGACAAAAGCAACACAGACCTCTCAGCTGGAGGCATGTCCTCCAGCTCACCCCTTATGAAAAAGGGCTCTGGCATAGGGCCCTCTATAAGCCTCCCAATGATAAATGGAACCGCAAAAACTTAACTTCTTTTTTTTCTGTTATGGCATTACCTTATCTTCTAAGCAAAGATAAGTTGTTAAGACCTCCTTTGTTAACTGAAAGGCTAACCACATTCATGACAAATTAAAAAAAAAAAAGCAAAACTTGAATTTCCACTTCGTGAGTAACGGAACAAAAGAACCAGCTTTGAATTACATTCTATAATGTTCCTTTCTACTTGTTGAAAGTGTCATGCTTCAAAAAATTTCAGAACTCCATATGCACCGCTACATCTTAACACACAAATGCTCAGGTTCACAGCACTAGGAACATTACAAGCCGCTACTGCTTCTGTAAAAATATGCTGGATACTCAGCATTTTTGAAAAAAATCGGACTGCATACTTGGAACTTCAGGCATCAACAGCGAAAATTTTCAAACACTGTTTCTAAGACATAACAGACATAAACCGATAATTAACCCAAACTATTCACAAAAGATAGCAATAAGAAAGAGGAAATTACTTTCATATACCTTCTTCATAGATTAATCCGACAATGTTCACAGCCTCCCTGCTTACTACAAAGATAGGATTCTCCTCAGTTGTTCTGGGGAAGTGCTGTGCCAATCTGCCAGGCTCTAGTATTAATCGCCGACCTTCATATATCAGTTCTTGATTCTGAGATGGTATTTTTGTCTGTTTGTAGACCAACTCATGAAATATAGCAGCTCTATGATACAAACAATATATTCAGTAGCAGTTAGACTCACTACAATAGTTCAACAATTCAGATTTTGTATTACTTAAATAAAAATCTCTTTCGCTTCTGATTAATTAAGAACTGGTTTTACACATAAAGCTTTTGACTTACAAGCAGAACAAAAAGCAGAACACTGCCTAAGGCTCCAGGTTGCTCTGTTACAAAAATAAATACTATTTCCTGCAAAATACCAAACTTCCCTTTCTACCTCTGATTTTCCACCAAAGCACGTCTGTGTAAACAAACATGCTTTGGCCTGAAGCCTGAAGGTCAGTAAAAACAGGCAACACCAGATGAGAGGAAGATGAGAGGAAGGAAGCATACTTTAGTTTTCTCAGGCATACCCCTTTCTTCAAAGGAGATGGATGGTCTCTCTAAGAGAAAAGTCTGGTGTTTTACATGTCAAAAAGCACACACCTTAAATTCAGCCTGTAAGCTAACAGACAGCCAGATTATCTCCTAAAACAGCAGTGATAAGGAAGACCAAAGACACTTTGGTATTTTATTTCCAGCAATCAATGGATACAAGGCATAAGAATTTATAACAAACCTCTCCCCCTCAAAAAAAAACCCCAACAAACAACAAACAAACAAACAAAACCTCCAACAAAGAAGAAAAACTTTAACAACACTAACAGGAAGGACCAATTTGCCTCCTGTGCAGCACTAGTACACTGTCACTTCTTAATACTACAGCTAGTATACAAATAATTATAAAGGTAAATAATAACAAAATAAATTTTAAAAAATAAAGTACAAATAGCAGTTTGAGCTACAAGCAAGATATCTCTGCAAAAATAGTATTTGAGCTCTCTCAAAATACAAATGACAGAATAGAAAAGAAAAATTGGAAAAGGCCAGAACTGTATTTACACATTTGATGAAATAACTGTATCTGTTTGCATATTAGAGAATAACACATGCTCTGTATTATGTGTAATAAGGCAGAGAAAAGGCACTTATTTTTGTATCAGACTGTAAACCAGACTTTACAGCTTTTAACATCAGCACTTAATGACCATAAAGTGAACTCCATATAACTCAGGCTCAGGATCCTAAATTGTACCAACTACAACTTCAGAACCCCTGTGAGAGTTTTATGTCAGACACAGATGATGTGCACATTTTGTATTCTTGAGGACAAGGTAAGAAAAGCGAGAGTTGAACACAGTCACTGGAAAACTACTTTGTCAATAAGTAACATATACAAATGTGGGATGAGTTGGTATCCATTATGAACACAGACACATTGATTCTCATCAAGGATTAAGTCTGTGTTCTGTCACTGATTAAGACCAAGTTTAAGATCAGTTGATTTGACCTTCAATGATTTTATTTGTATTTTTGATCAACATGCTTCTATGCACTGTGACTACACAGAATTACAAGCTTTCACTTCCTCAGATAAACCGCCAAGGAAAGGCTAATGAATTTGTAGCACTAGTGATCTAAGGTCACAGTACTGTTTGCGTGAATAAGAGCAAAGTCATGAAAATAGAGAGAGAGAAAACTTACGTATTATAGCTGTGAATATAAATTTTGTGCAAAGTCATCTGCTGTACTGAAAAGATGTGGATTATTATTCGGTGCAGTATGTCACTCGTCTCTGCAAAGAACTGGTCAAATCCCCAGCATTTTTCCTGGTCTGCTTCAAGAATATTCGCAAGGACAGGTGTGAGTAGTACTTGCAGACCCCTAGAGGACACCAGGAAGAGATAAGACAACTTGGATCTACTTTGATCTTTTCACCTTGTAACCAATTGCAATACTTCATTTGACTTGTCTCATGAATGCAAATCTATTATCCCTTGAAGAATACTCCAGTGCTTTTTTTTCCCCCCCCTCTACTGAACAACAAAATGTTCAATGGTAATATCCATTGTTTTTCATTGATACACATACTATCTCTTTCCTTTTTAGGCTCAGCTATCAAATATTTTTTCCTTGGTATTTGACAAATTTCATGGGCATTGGAAAAATAGCATACGATTTAAAAAGTCTATATTGTAAAACTAAGGTCACCTTCTACCACTGCTGGGCAGTAGTCTTTTACCTAGCTCACCCCACACACTTACCACAGTTTATCACTTTGAAGGAAGCCACTGCCATTTATGGTTTGCTGGCTGAGTTGCTTGCGTGAGCACACTATGTTGCTTTCAATCAAAATCAGCTGGGTTAGCAAAGACTCATTATTTAAATTGTCAACACTAACAGAATTCATCCTGATTGATATGGGGCTAAATAAGTACTCCACACATGCAGCTCAACTGCTGCAAAGAAAAATGTGCAACTATTGCCTTACAGTCATTACTATTGCAGGAGAAAGGCCAGCTTAAATTTCTTGTATTTCTACTTTGAGAATCTGAGTTGCAAGGAACTGCATGGATCCTACTCCTGTGTTACCATGAACAACTTTTTCAAAGTTTTATCATTATATACACGTCAAACCTGAATCCAGTGGTAAAACCGGTAACATTTTGAAGCAAGCTCCAGTGGCTTACAAGCATACTGACGGCCCCATTAGAGGTCAGTGGATGCTGTGCTCAAACTCACTTTAGTACTAAACTCACAACAGTAAATACTGTTTGAATGCTACTTGAAAATACTACTGTAAAGAGATGTTTAACGAAAAAATCTGCTTCATTGATTATTTCAAGCACTTCAATTATATGGAATAAGCAGAGGAAACAACCGAGCAGTATAATGAAAAATATATATATAAATTGCAAGTTCTGCACACTATAAACTAATGAATTGATATAAAACAGACTTTCACTCTACACCCCTTATGGATCTACATATTTGGCTTTCAGAAAAGTTTGCTTCTAGAGTCTTTCATTGACAGAACAATTTCTTTCTCCCTTTACCGTGAAAAAGCAGTAACTTTAAAGTACTGAAGAAGTCTCAGGAAAATAAATAGGTAAATGAGTTATGGTAGGTGTTTTTAAGATCATATTGAGATTAGATCTTCCATGGCTCTTCCTACTCAGTATTATGACATATGAAGCAAAAATATGATGATAAAAAAATTTAAAAGATACTGTGAGATTATGTTAAAATGTGCTGATGTGAATTTTTTTCTGGCAAAAATGCAAGTCCCTGAACTGTCTTTTCTTGTAATTTCCTTCCTACTGCCTAATCTTTGTAATGTCTGAAGTCACATTCTTGCAAGAAAGGGGGGCCGTCAATTCAAAGTTTATTAAATCTTCATACTCTTTCCTGAGGGTGGAGAAAAAATAGTAATAATCTTTCTTCTACTCACACCACTTCAGATTCTCGGTGCTCATTTGTAAATTAGCAGTCATAAAACTATTTGACAGATGGGAAGAAAAAATACTTGATAACCTAATAGTAGACTGTACTGATCTACCGAAGAGTTCAAAGAAAACAACTGCAACAGTCAGATCTCTGTTCCAAAGACCCAATCCTGAGAGAGTAACTGGTAAAGCCCAATCAAGTAGCATTGAAACATTTTGTGAGAAGTTCAAACTTACTTTGAAAGACTACAAGAAACAGGCATCTCCCAGCTCCACTCAATTGGTCCATTTTCTGCTTTCTGTATTCCAGAAATGGCACCAGAAGGCTTTCCAGTGATTATTTTATACCTGCAATACATTATAAAAATAATAAAGACTTCAACTACTACCTCTTATATATACATAGGTCGAGTAACTCATACTCAAAGGGGTATCAATAATATAAATCTAAACAACACATTGGCCTAAATTTCTAGGTGGTGCAATAATTAGGAAGTTTCACTTACAAGCTGACAGAGAGTGTTAGTAAACAATGAAAAGGAAACATTCCAGGCTATGTTGGAGAAGCAACTTTGTCTACCTCAGGTTTGGAAAAAAATTAGGACAGATTTCAGGCATCGGTGAAGGAAGATGCAGTTTTTTCACAAGTGTTAATTAATCAAAGTCAGATGTCCAAGGCAGTTCAATTTAGGCATTCACATGACTAACTTCTAGCATGTTCCATGGCAAGAGATGACATTTAACCACCACAAAGTCACTTGGGGATAAAGAAGGAACAGGAGGTGGACTTTGAGAAATTACTTTAACTTGGAAACACCTAGCAATTTGGATACAATTTGGCATTGTCTAACTTTGTACTGAACAGGCTAGTATTTCTCAAGTTTCTCATAAAACGCATCAGGAGCAACAGGCTTTTTGCAGCAGAAAATTTCAGTTGTGCTTTCTCTTTTTGGAGGACGAGGTACATACAAAACATATGTTCCTTGCTTATCTCTCAAGCAGATACAACAAGAATGCCTGTGGGATAATCACAGGATGGGCAGTTCCTTAAACTAAGAAAATTGGAGTCAGCTTTGCAAGGAGATGTTACTGGCTTCTTAGGGTCCCCAAGTACCACCTTGCTTTATTTTTTAAATGCAACACATAGAACAATCACAAAATAGAACTAGACTAAGATGAAACAGGAATCAATTCCAACCAGCACGTCATAGACACATCTCTGTTTCCCATTCAGGAGCTACCCCTGCTATCTTCAGCCACAGTCCACAACTATGCTACTCAAAAAATGTCAGTCTCATGGGTAATGCATGGGAAGACAATCATTTAAAGGACAACAAAAATTTGCAGAACTGAAAACTCACTTCAGAATACCATAATTTTGCCGAATATCCAAGGTTAGATACACCATACTGCAACAGACCAGCCCAGTGCCATGGTAAAGGAAAGATGTGTGGAAAAACATCAGTATTTTGGGGGAGCTCTGATGCTTAATTCAGGTCTTAAGGTGCCATACAGTAAAATCCTCGTTGAAGCAGAATGTTTATACTGGTTTTGGCTGGGATAGAGTTAATTTTCTTCATAGTAGCTCATATGGTGCTGTGTTTTGGATTTGTGACCAAAACAGTGTTGATAACACGGGGATGTTTTAGCCATTGCTGAGCAGTGCTTACACAGCGTCAAAGCCTTTTCTGCTTTTCACACTGCCCTGCCAGCGAGTAGGCTGGGGGCAGGCAAGAAGCTGGAAGGGCACACAGCCAGGACAGCTGACCCCAAGGGATATTCCATACCATATGCTCAGCAATAAAAGCTGGGGGTAGAAATTTGCCAGGGCTGCAATTGGTCAGGGACTGACTGGGCATCAGCTGGCTGGTGGTGAGCAATTGGGGCTTTTTTGCATCACTTGTTTTTGTTGGTTTTGTTTTCCTTTGGGTTTAGGGGTGGGGGGCTTTTATTGTTGGTTTTTTGTTTGGTTTTTTTTTTTTACTTATTAAACTGTCTTTATCTCAACCCATGAGTTTTCGCACTTTTACCCTTCCAATTCTCTTCCCCATCCCACTGCGGGGGAATGAGCGAACAGCTGTGTGGTGCTCAGCTGCCTACTGGGGTTAAACCACAATAAAGTTAAAGAACGCTTTTCCTTAAATATTTTCACTATTTTAATGTTTACTATATGTGTGTAGGTTTCCTTGATAAAAAGCATTTCACGGACTGACTTAATTTATGAACAGATAAAATTCTCCTTCTAAATTACCTACATCACTTCCTTGTTTCTACGAGGTCCTTCAAAAGGTCGGAAAGGCAAACTCCCTGTTGCAGCATGGTAAAAGGTCACCCCGATGCTCCACAGATCAACTGTGGCTCCGTACTTTTTCTGATGCTCTTTCCTCAAAACTGCTCGCTCATACATATCAGGATGCTAAAGAGAAAAAAAACAGAAAAAAGACGTTAGAATTGCTTTATGAACAATATAAAGAACAAAAACCCAATCTATCATTTCACAGCAAGATAATTTGTCATTCTAAACTTAATGGAAAAGCAAAGTTAGCTTGTATCATAGAATTTGCTTGAGTTATTCTGACAGAATATCACAAAAGTGTTCCTAGGTATGATAGCCACTTTTACTAAAGGTAAAAGTGTTCCTAGGTATGATAGCCACTTTTACTAAAGGTTTGCAAAAAATATTTTAAAATTTAGCTAAAGATTGACTACTAGAATAAAACACCACTAAAGAAGAGGACAGATGATTCTGAAACAACAGAAACCAAACTGGAAAAAGATCCACAGCAGAGGAGAATATCAGTCACAATACTGTGGGAAACTCCCCCAAAATACATGTGGGAAAACATGGCAGGAAGAAAATTATGCCTAAGATGCTTGTATTGATGCTTCTCTGCCTGCCTCTCTTTGGTTAACTAAGATGTCAAGTGAATCTTAACTACATCTAACATCATCCAAGTAGCTCAAACACAAACCGAAAAATACCTACAGAGATAAAGGCAAAGACATTCATAACTAAAACACTGTTGTTCTTCCTTTCACACAAGGTAACAGTGGAAGTTGGACCTGGAAATTAATTAACGCTACTGTGCTCAGATCAGCGGAAGAACTGGCATGACCCAAGTGGAAAAAAAAAGTGGAAAGTTATAAAAACAATTGTAAGACAAAGGATTAAATACTAATTCCCAACAGTCCAACCTTCACCTATTCAACTCTCATCACAAAGGACTCCGGGCTTCAAACAGTTCTTCAAAAGAAAGTGAAATCATATGGGCTTACTAAATACTCTTCTGTGCCATAGAGAGAAACAAATTGTTCATCATCTTCAAGTTCTCTTGCAGCACCAAAGTCCGTAAGTTTGTAAACAGACTGACCATCTTCACCTATAACACGCATTATATTGCCTGGTTTGATGTCACGGTGCACTATTCCATTCTCCCGGAGATGATTCATCCCAGCCACTTCAATCAAAAAAAAAAAAAACAAACCAAAATTTATGTATACATCTTGACACAGACTGCACAAGCATTGAATTGTAACCGAGGCTAGGAAGACATATGTGTTTAGTTTCTCATTGGGAAATGGGAATGAGAAGGGACACTCAATTAGCAAAAAGACCAGGACCAGACAATACTCTAAGCATTTTTGCCTTTTTTTCTTTCAAACAGCTAAATTACAGTTGTTTTTGCTCTCAGCAACATCTTTCCCATAAAGTAATGGAGGAAAATTTTGTAACAGGCAGACACAGGTAAACCTCATTATTTTTCTAATTTACTCTTCTGAGATTAATTTTCATTAGGAATCAGTCCAACATGTGACAAATAATCTTGAAACAACAAACAAAAAATAATTATAGCAATGCTTTAAACGGAAATGGCTTCTTAATGCAGCTATCTATACCAATATAGACATAAATAAAAGATGTGACTCCTTATGACCGTATTAATTTGTTCAATTGGTTGACAGTCATTCAAATTCCTTGTCTCTTGCTGTTTCAAAATAAACAAAACAAGTATGAGTTTGTTTCAGTCAACAAATTAGACTAAAGAGCGAAGTCTACATACCCACATCTCTCAAAACAATTAAGAACTCAGACTCTGGCAAACCAAAGGCATTAGACGGCTCCTCTAAAACTGTATATAAACTCCCACATGGACAAAATTCCATAACTAGTACTTTGTGTCTAGTCGTTGTCTGGAAAAAAATTAAAAAAGATAAGTCTGTGACTATTGTGAAAACAATGTCAGAAATTACATATAACCACAGGATCTTACTTTCAAAAAAAAAAAATTTGCGGCTAGATCATAAATCCCATTCTGGTGGTCTTCTTCAAAAGAAGTGCAGGTGAACTTTAATATGTTTCATGTATTCTAACTTGGAGAGTGGGGAAAAAATTAAGAAAGCCTCACGTTCTAGGCACTTAGAGGACTGACAGCAGTATTGATAGGTGGACAAATGAGAAACTATAGCACAGAAAAGCAGAGAGCAGCAATTGTCCTTCTTTCCTCTTTACTAATCTCAGCATCTGGGTCATTTCAACTGAGCAGTCTCAGTTTCAGCACAACTACTGCAATTCATACTAACATACAGTTCTACATGTCCTATGTCATTACTTTAGTTGGTTGCAAAGCAAAAGCATAAAATTGTCAGGATTATTGAAACACCTCCAACTATCAGTATGTATTAAATATTCGTACATGTAGATAGCTTAAAAACCCTAATTCAAGACAAAGCTTAGGACAGTGGCTTCTGGAGATGGCTTTGAAGAATCATAACCTGTGCCTAAATACTGAAAGCAAGCATATTCTTTCAACAACAAAAAAGAAAGAAAAACAAAAAATGGTGGTGGTTGGGTCAGAGCATATCATCATATGTTACCATTCTTTAAAAATGTAACTCTATAGTAAGGATAAAGCAAAAAGACAGTCACTGTGGTTACTACCATGCATCTCAGATTACAACTACAACAATTCATTACCTCTTCTTCGATGGCAAACAATTTGACAATGTTCTTATGATTTAGTTTCTTCAACACTTCAAACTCTCGCATCTGAACATCCACAGGACGAAGGAAACTTATACTGTTAAATACTTTGACAGCATATAAATCCCCAGTTTTCTATTCAAAACAAACAAACAAATTACTAATCAAACAGAAGCATAAGATTGTAAATGTACATATACCCATTATCCAAGCATTTTGAGATCTTCTGTTGTGCGTATGAGCATACCCAGATTAGAAATAGTTCAAAATAGTATTTTGTGTTAGGGTGGAAATTAAGATCCCACTAAAAAAAATTATGCGTATATTGGTTTAGTTTAATATAGACTAGAAGCAAACAGACTAGCAGAATGGAAACTCAACGTTAGCCCACAAAATCTAAGTGCTTTTAAAAAAAGAACAGTTAGCATAAGAAAGGCTACACATTTAAGAACGACCCATGAACTTTGCTGAAAAAAAATTCTTCAGCAACAGGTAAGCCACTTGCACAAATCAATGAGAGACATGCACATACTACAGTTGAGAATCGTGGCTTGCTTAAGAGACAACTTTTGGAAGCTAAACATTGCTGTCTTTTTCTTTACTGTACTGTTTATACTAATAAAGCAGTATTTTGGTTTTTTCCAAGAAGGCAGTGTCAAGCACTACATACCACTCATGCAAATTCCTGAAGCAATTCAAACCCACATGATAAATGACATGAGCACAGTCCTGAGTTTAACCAGAGACTTAAGTTCTCGAGTGGGACTAAGCCCCAACATGCTCAGGCACTCACAGCACCAGCTGAGAGTGCAACTCCTGTCCCTCTTAGGGCAAAGTACCTCCCTGCGTCCACTCTAGGAATAAGCTTACATTAGCAGTATGCGACAGATTCTTTCTAAGGACAAAGACGTCCTGTGCTTAGACTAGGTGTGTCGTACAGCACACTTACGTGCACTACTGATGCCCAGGTAAAAGTTTTCTCCCCTGGACAATGAGCTGCAGGTCATGTGCTCAGACTAGTGAGGGTGATGAGGGGTGCAACCATGAAACCGTAAGCTTTACAGGGGAACCATTCTGTGCTGAAATTCACTCACCCAGAAAAGCACATTAACTGCTAATTATTGCTTAGTATTGCTTCACAGTTAAATGTGAAACATAGAAAACACTGTAGCTTATATATAACTTCATATTGATTTCACACAGACTGTCATTACTATAAGGGAACATTACTTTCACAACTAGGCTTATCTTCATTTTGTGAGACATACCGTGAAATTAATAGGAATAGAATGACCTACACAAGTAAGGTCATTTTAGCCCCTCACTCAGGTTACAACATACACATCAGTACAACATTTATGTGGCAAAACTGCTCAAAGATGTACTATTTTGTACTGGTTACTCAAGGCATGTCACCAAGAAGATGGTATCCTAGGCATGTATGAAGCATTGACTTACGGACAAAGATTAACTGCAACTTCATCCAATACGATAATATGTTAAGAATATTTCACTTACAGTACAAAATCATAGAAATCACAAAAAACAGGTTTTAAAAGAACAGGGAAAAACTATGAAAAGAGAATTTAACAATGACATAAATAACATATCATGTAATAAAAACTGATAAGACTTTTATTCCTATTTAAATTCTTAAGCAAGGAGTATTTTTTCCATAAAACTGAAGAATGGAAGAATGAAGAATTAATAACAGTTCATATTTTACAAGGACAAATAATGCAATATTAAAAACAAATCTTCAGAAATAACTGTATAGAACTCTAATTCAATGGATGAATATTAAAAATTAAAAACTAAGTATGAATAGTTACAAAGATATATTTGCTTTAGGCCTAAATCTTGAATGGTTTTTTTGTTCATTTCATGACACTACTCACATATGAAAAAAATTCAGTTTTACATGTTGCTCAGATTAGTAATTCCTCACAAACCTTATGTCGTCCCCGGAAAACATTTGCAGTAGCTCCCTGTCCTAGAATGTCAGACAACAGCCAGAGGTAATTTGAAGTGCTCTGCATCTTTGCTCTTTGATTAGACAGTTTTCTTTTCCACCTTAAAAACAAAAGGTTAAAAATATTGAATTATAATTTAGTAAAATACACAAAAGGGACTTATTTTAATTAGAAGGAAAAAAAGAAAAACCCCAGCCACAACTCCAAAGACATACAGAAATAATTAAGAACAACCAAGCAGACGAGTAAGAGGTGAAATAAAGAAACAACAACATGCTCAACAATCAAAACTAATGCCATAGACACAACACCTCTCTGCATTTGAGGTCTTTACTCCCCAAAATTTGTTTGAAAAATCAACTGGAAAAGTGAAAGCTTTATAATCCCTTTTCTGTTGTACACAGGTGTTTAAAGAGTCAAAAACACATGCACAAGGTCTTTTGAAAATAAGCAAGACCTATAATCGAATTCCATTATTCGGTATATATGCCAAAGAACAGACATTAGAGATGATGGCAGATATGTATACAGATCTTTTAGATCAGTTTGGCTCTGGAAGTTGCACTTCAGTACAACTGTAAAGGAACTGGACTAACTATTCACAAAAAGCTATTTTTACATGAGCTAGATAAAAGTCACAATTAACACAGCTACTTGTTAGAACCACCAATTACTGCTGGAAGAAATTTCTCTCATTTCTAAAATCTCACATTTGGTACATCACATCATTTCTAAAGAGACAGCCTGGCTTCCCCACCCTTCCTCAGATGTTCACAGATTCAAAAGAGAGAGAGAGAGAGAGAGAGAGAGAAAGTTTGATTAAATTAAAACAATTTAAAAAACCATTAGAACTGCCAGATTTCCCCCTTGCCAAAACAGCAGGAGCTGCAGGTGGATAGCCTTACCTTTTTGGTTTAATTAAAGCACTGATTTTGCCACTCAATCTAGCAAAAGGCTCTAAGATCAAAGATGCAGCTTCCTGGATCTAAAGAATCTTAAGAGCAAAATGGCAACTGGACCAGGAGAAGGTCCTACAGCAGCAGCCTTTCCACACAGCCTGGCAGGGGACCCTGCATCTGCCTATGTTAACTGACAAGAAACAATTAACTGATACTCAAAAGAAACAAAAAAAGCCTTTCCTGTAACTACTGGAAGAAGAGGTATGACATAATTTCCTGTGCATGTTTATTACGAGAAGGTGGTTGGCACTTTTTGAGAGCTCCTTGGTGCACAAGACAACACCACCAGAAGCCTCACAGCGTGCACCGCAGGAGAACGGAGGAAGCCGCACGCCAGCCACCCCAGCACTGCTCGCCCGTCCCGCTCCAGCAGCCAGCTGAAGCACCTGCCTTTGCACTGTTCCTGATCGTACCCATGCCACGCCGCAGAGAGACAGAAATTTTCTCATGACTTTGAACGCATTTCTCTCTGCATAGCGACTGCAGATTTCATACTTTCATTTAGCTATTCCCTCATGTAAGATGTGGAGTTTCTTGCAAAGCTGTCCCAAAACATCCAGGCAATGACATGTAGCATACAGAATTCAATGACACAATGCAAAGACCTGACATTAAACTAAATTCAGAGTCATGCAGCAACACAATTTGTAAAATCTAGATAAAGTTCTTAATGCCTAGAGAAGGGAAGAAAGGTTTTATCTTAAATCTGAACTAAAAAAACCACCACCACACCCCAAACCATTACAATTCTCAGTTAACTCTGACAAGAAAATTTGCAATAGTAGAATAAGATAACTTCTCCCAGCTGGCAATTACTGTAGATGCGAAAGAGCTATCTATGATGTAGGCATAGAAGGTAAGGAAGAGGTCTGCAAGGAAATAATGCATAGCCTACTCTCTAAAATCTCTGAATTAAAAAATTCCTCATAAGTAAAACCCTGCTTGTAACAAGGCAGCTGGTAGGTTACCAGTAAACATGTATTTTGTCATTTATTTCAAAGCAACATTAGACTCATACCAAGACACAGAAACATAATGAATCCTTTCCAAGCAGACAGAAAGGGCACAGAGGGGTCAAGTAAACACAGTGTTTCTTCACTGATGTCTATTCAAATACTAAAAATTTTAGCAGCCTATTAGAGACTGAATTATGATGTTGCCCAAAGTAATAAAGATGAGGTAGCTTATGTATGAGATCAGCTCTCTTCCCTTACTTTCTTACTTTCTAATTAAATTTGCAAGAAAACAAAACAAAAGGACAGTTTGTGACAGATGAGCTTGAATATCATTCGATGGATTTAAAAAAAACCCAGCAAGTCACCAATGGGTTCTCAAGGTCTGGTTTCACTCGTAAAACTACAGATATAATTATGCCAGTATTAATCCCAGAGTACATATCCAGTGCCAAACCAAAGTCAGTGTTGCACTATTACACTTTTTTTGTCAAAATAGTATTTTTATAATAATAACAAAGTCTACACTCTTTTGGCAGAGTCTTCACTTTTAAGGCATAAAGTCTCATTCAGCTTTAGTTTTAATCTTCAAATTGTAATAATTTGATTCAATAACTTATATAACGTTAGACCTCCTTTGATTTAATACCTTTCCTTTCTCAGACTGATTCAGAACTGATCTTTGTTAAACACTCAGCATGCCAAGTTTTCTTTTCCTATCTTCCATTATCTTCCTAAATCAATTCACTAAGAGTTTCATATTAAAAAAATATATCTCTAACTGTACGATTGGTCCCGTCACTAGATTTAATGCTGAACTTTCTATTTCTTCATATCTCACTTATGGTCATGAAGTCTGATACTAGATGAGTCAGAAGGTCCTCACATATATCTAAAGGTATCTCTCCTGCCAGCAGTTTGAGTCTCCATGACTCATTAGCATTTCAAAGGTTTGGGGGGCTGCTTTTTGGGTTTTTTTTAATATTTTTCTGCTTCTGGTGACGCTACTACTTCTATACTTGTCAGCAGGGGGGACGGTAATAGAAAAAGACTGCATTACTAATGTGACTTTTTTTTTAAACTCCCAATGCTTTGAAGCAGGAGTACTGACTACTAATTAATACGAAGAAGTCTGCTGTTACCTCAGGCACACGGGATAAGCACACAAAGCAGGTACTTCCCCTGTTAACAGCTGCAATGTACACATTCACCAGACAAGTAGGGACAGATGATTACGTGATGGCTCCTTCTGTCTACAGGCAAGATCCTATATGCCACCAAAGCCGACAGGTGCTGAGGTTCCAAATAAACGTTATGTTAGCATTATACAGTCCGGTAAATATGAAGGTTTTATATTTTCCTTTATGCCCTCTCTTAAAGCCTAGAAAAGAAGTTTCTCCTCCTGAAGTTCCTGCCTCCTACCCCTGTTTTCTGCACCTAACCTCTTCCGGGAGTTTCCAGTCCAACAGCTAGTATCTGAATTACCGAAATACCCTGCCCTGGGCCAGAGGAGGTGCTGCCTGAACCCACACGAAGCAGCACACGCTCCCAAAGGCCCGCAAAACAAATGGCAAGCCTGGCTCCAGTGCTCATCACCACTGCTCTCGGCGTTTCCAGCCCGTAATGGGGGAAGAGGACTCGGCCTCTGTCAGGGACGGCAGCTCCTGAAAAGCTGTGGAGGGCCACAGGCTCGCCTGAGCGA